CCCCCCCCCCCCCCCGCCACCCAATCCTTCAGACACAACAGCCACAACAAGTGGATGCTGCGAGAGCGCCTGAGCCGCGCGGCGACCAGCTGCAGTTCAAACGTGCGTGCGAGGGAAATTGCAACAAGCGAGACGTCCTCTTGTCCGTAGCAGGAGGCGGGCTGGCCACAGGGATTGCTTGCTTGCTTTTTGACAAACCTACAGCAAAAGCCGGGCTTGGAAAAGGCTAGTGATCACCCACATCCATTCATTCCCTCTCTCTGCCACACACACACACTCACACACGCACAAGCCCTCTATTGTCCCCTCCCCCCGGCACAGGATTCTTGCTCGTTTATTATTTTGCAAAGGTAAGGAGTGATCGCCGCTGCCCAGCATCCCCCCAACTTAGGCTGGCTGCCTCTCTCTCCAGGAGGTCTTGTTGCACACAAAGAGAAGCCAGAAAAAAAATAACTCATCAACCTGTAGGGCTGCCTGAACCTGCACCTGCAAACAGAGATTGTTCAACACAATCCTCTCTTCAAGCTCTCTCTCTCTCTCTCTCCAGATCCTCAGGCTAGCGAGAACAGCGTTGCTCTTTCTCTGCCTAGGAACAGTAAGTATAAGAGCTTTTTCGGTTTTGGGGATTTTTTGTGCCTGGCACGCAAATCTGGCATTGTCATTTGACAATTAATATCCATCGACTTGTGCTGTATGAATTTCAAAGGTTGCTGGACATGAGGATGCTGGTTCTGTGTGTCTGTGTGCGTGCGTGTTTAGCTTTTGCTTCATTGCCTCTCCAGTTTGCATTTTCTTGACACACACCATGAATATGCTTCACTTGACATGCCAGTGGATGTGCTTGTTTCTACATGAAATGCAGTAAAATGTTCGCTGGGACTGAAACACAGTTTAGATATAGCACATACTGTACCATTGCTGTATCTAATTAAGTTCTAAAAATAAACCAAAACTATAGCCTATACGTTTTTTTTTCTTGAAACAACTGATCGTGCCAAATGTGAATGCACTATGTGTGTGTATGTTTTGGCTTGTGTATTAGCATTTATAGATTGAGTGCTCTCTTTCTATCGGAGCATGCATGTGTTTGCGTATGGATGTGAGCATGTACATGGGTGTACATTTTCTATAGATATAAAATACATACCCACCCACAACCATACCCACACAGACGTGTGAAATCTCTCTGTGTGAGATACGGGTGTGTATATACAGAATAGATTTGGATAGTGTGGGTGGTGGAAGACTGAACACCTTAATAATATATTACACAATATTCATTTGTTCAGCACTGTGGCCTCTTAGGAAAATGATCCAACCTCTTCCCTTTTTTTTGTTTGTTGTTTTTTGTATGTGTATATGCATGTGCCTCAGGTTAAGTGCTCCTTCAGCATGAGAATAACCAAAGGGTGATCCACTCCCTTGTCTCCTATGGGGACCGCAGAGCCAGTTTTGCAGCCTTCATCATCTCCTCCTCATCATCTTCCTACTGTTGCCGCCATCCTTGGTGCAGCTCCCAGGTTTGAAACACTGTTGACAGGCTGAAAAAAGAGGGCATGGATAGACCTCCTCACTGTGTAAACAATATGAGAGCTGGAAGTTGCTTCAACTCCCTAAATAACAATATCAATCAGTTATCAGACTGCTAGGCCAAAGCACTGCTTGGAGGAAAGTATGAGAAAACAGGCTATTTGTATTTGGTGACACTGGTGAACTAAAGACCTGAAACTTTTTTGGTGGTAAAAAACTAACAGAAGAGTTGCCCTCTCGAGTTGCATAAACATTTGCTCCTTGCTGGATGTAATCTTGGGAGCCTGCAAGAATATCATGAAATTGTTCAGATCTGTTGATCCTGCATACACCACCAGAGAATACTAAAACTAAAGGGGCTTGGTGGATGAAAGGACAAGGCCTAGGCTCTTTCCTGATCAAATTTGAGAACTGCATCTTTTGATTAATTTCCATTCTTAGCAAAAGATGTAACTTTTGTGATACAGCCTGGATGATAAAGAGATGCAGATCTGTGGTTGCTACAATTTTACAAAACACAGACTCAAGGCAACTGGTATCCTGATGGGTTGAGCTTCCAAGAGACCAGCCTCCAAATGCAAACACCTTTGAACTTCCCACAGTAAAGCAACAAGCTTTGACAGCAGATAAACCAAACGATTTTGCATTAAACAAATAAACAAACAGTTGCAAAATGGAGGTTGCAATGGTGAGTGCAGATAGCTCTGGATGCAACAGCCACTTGCCGTATGGATACGCGGCCCAAGCACGGGCCCGGGAGAGGGAGCGACTGGCACACTCAAGGGCAGCAGCGGCTGCGGCAGTGGCAGCAGCGACAGCGGCAGTGGAAGGTGGAGCCACTGGTGGAGGGGGGCCCTATCACCATTACCACCAGGAACAAGGTCGTGGTGCTTCCTCCTCCTGTGGTGGCAATACATCCCGCAGCAGCCAGCCCCAGTGCCAGAACAGTAAGAGGAAGAAGCGAGGCAAAAAGAGAAGCCACCATCTGGGAAGCAGGGAATGTGGGGCCTCCTTCCCCTGCTCTGAGTTGTTGCCTCTCAGCGGCTCAGAAGAGAGAATACTTAAGGATTTGAGTGAGGAGGAGGAAGAGGAGGAGGAAGATGAGGATGAAGAGGATGAGGAGGAAGGAAAGTTCTACTGCAGTGATGAAGATGGGGTGGATGATTTTTCATACTCAGACCAGCCACCTGATGATGGTGGTGGTGGTGGTGGTGGCCCTGGGAGCTACAGCTCAGTTCGCTACAATGAATATGAGTGCTGTGAGAGGGTGGTAATCAATGTGTCAGGACTGCGGTTTGAAACTCAACTGAAGACCCTGGCTCAGTTCCCTGAGACACTGCTGGGCGATCCAGCAAAGCGGGGCAGATACTTTGACCCACTCCGGAATGAGTACTTCTTTGATAGGAACCGGCCCAGCTTTGATGCTATCCTGTACTATTACCAATCTGGGGGCCGTCTCAAGAGGCCAGTCAATGTGCCCTTTGATATCTTCACTGAGGAAGTGAAATTCTACCAGCTTGGGGAGGAGGCCATGCTCAAATTCAGGGAGGATGAAGGGTTCGTCAAGGAGGAGGAGGACAAGGCTTTGCCTGAGAATGAGTTCAAAAGGCAAATCTGGCTGCTGTTTGAGTACCCAGAGAGCTCCAGCCCAGCCAGAGGCATTGCAATTGTTTCTGTCTTGGTCATTTTGATCTCTATTGTCATTTTCTGTCTGGAGACTTTGCCAGAGTTTAGAGATGACAAGGAGATCATACTATCCCTGGCCCTGGGGAAGAGTTTTTTCAATGAGTCACTGCACCAGGATGGAGGGGGGCACACTGTCTTTAGTGACCCTTTTTTCATTGTAGAGACAGTCTGTATCATCTGGTTCTCTTTTGAGTTTACAGTGCGGTGCTTTGCTTGCCCCAGCAAAGCAGCTTTCTTCAAGAACATCATGAACATCATAGACATTGTCTCCATTTTGCCTTACTTTATCACCCTGGGCACGGACCTGGCTCAGCAGCAGGGCAGTAATGGTCAACAGGCCATGTCTTTTGCCATTCTGAGGATCATCCGTCTGGTCAGGGTGTTTCGCATCTTCAAGCTCTCCAGACACTCCAAGGGTTTGCAGATCCTGGGTCATACACTCAGGGCCAGCATGAGGGAACTGGGGCTCCTCATCTTCTTTCTCTTTATTGGAGTCATTTTGTTTTCAAGTGCTGTTTACTTTGCAGAAGCTGATGAACCTACCACCCATTTTCAAAGCATCCCAGATGCCTTTTGGTGGGCAGTGGTGACCATGACTACTGTTGGTTATGGGGACATGAAACCCATAACTGTGGGTGGGAAAATAGTTGGGTCCCTGTGTGCCATTGCAGGTGTATTAACCATTGCTTTACCAGTGCCAGTGATTGTCTCCAATTTTAACTATTTCTATCACAGAGAGACTGAGAATGAAGAACAAACACAGCTGATGCAAAATGCAGTCAGTTGTCCGTACCTCCCAACAAATTTACTGAAGAAATTTAAGAGCTCATCATCTTCATCCACAGGCGATAAATCAGAATATTTGGAAATGGAAGAAGGAGTTAAAGAATCTCTTTGTGCAAAGGAAAAAACAAGTCAGGATGCAGGGAATGGCAGTGAGACAGCAAAGAAAAACTGTGTAAATTCAAAATCTGTGGAAACTGATGTGTAATTCTGAACATTTCCAAATATACTTATGCATTAAGAGTGCAGTGATAAATGAAATATGCAAACGAGTCTAAAGCATACGGTAGTATGCCATTTATTGGTTAAATATGAATAAAAACGCATTGCTAAACTTGTATTACATATCAAGTAAATGATATAACTTGTGGAAGGGGCTGGTTGATCCAATGTAATTTCAAACTTTATATTTTTATTAGAATGCAAGTGTTTTGCACATGAGGCAAAAGACATTGTCAAAACCAGGACAGATTTCAAGTGGGTGCATGAACTGTCGACATCACTAATAACAGCTCAGTGGTAAAAGTTGGCATTCAGCGGTATTTACTATGTAAGAAAAAGTGAAGTTCAGCAGTCATCTATCCATTTATCATTGCTTTAATAGCAGCTACCATAAATCATTTGATCCCATAGTCATTGTTTTCAAAATGGTAAAAAAAAATTGTAAAAATATATTCTACAGAATATAGTTCTAAATTTTATCTTGAAATCTATAATGCTTGTTTTTAACTGGAAATTGACTTTGAAAAGGCTGCTGAACCTCCAGAAATTGTTTATTTTTATAACTCTCTTTGGAGGCATTGCAGCATTTGTTGTCTAATATATGGAAGAAATGAAGTAAGAGAATCTTTTAACATGGTCTGAATGCAGTAGCAAAGTGACTGGAATGATTTTTTGCACTACTTTATATGCTGGAGAAATACTGAAAGAGACTTCATACTGTGAATGTTTACTAATGTAATAGTTCAATGACAATCATTGGAAGAGTGAATTCTGCGTCTTATTTTATTGTTTTTTTTTCCTTACATGATGCTGATAGCTAAGCAGCTAATGTTACATTAATTCCATATTCTTTTAATTATGAAAATATATGATCGGAAAAAGGATCGTGCAGTAAAATTTTATAATCATTTTTTTTAATCAGTCTATTCTACTGATACCCTTGAGAAATAACAATGTATTTTATATTTTCTTTACTGCTTAATTTGACATTCAAAATCCAATATTAATACATGCGCTTTGTCAATGTTGAAATATTAGTGTACTTGAAGGGGCTGTAGCAGTAATAAGATGTTCCACTGCTACAGTAATGAGGAATAAGAATTGCTAACTTTTAAATGTGCTATTATTGGTGCTGTGTTTTTTTCCCCTTAATTACAGCTTTCACCCATGAACATTTGAAACAACCTTTAAGACCAGAATAGGCATCCTGGGGTTTGAAATGAAAATTTTGGGAACCAGGCTGTCCTTGAGAAAACATTTCTTCTCACCTAGGTTAGGGCCAGTGGTACATTTCCTGTGCACCCCACACTCCTATTAATCCAAATGGTAGATGTGGATGTGCAAGGAGTGCTCTATGGGGGGCTACTGTGAATCCTTCTGCCTGGAATGAGTGCATATTTAACAAAAAGACTATAAAGAGGTATTTTTGGATTCAGAAACGTGCAGGAATGGCATACTGAATGGGAACTGTTTTGGACAGGCATTGTGGTTCTAGAGTCATCCAAATTACTTAACTTGAAAAAGTGCTGACATGGGCACTTTGGAACAGGTGTACTAAGGGAAAAAGGGGGAGTTACAGATATGCAGACTAATTTTGCAATGATAGTCCCAAGGCGGGAACAGGAGTGTTCTGGAGCTGAAATGCACAGGACATCTTTTGGGACTCAAAACAACCTCAATTTTTGTAAATTGGGTGTCCTTTATAGCATGCATATCTATCAGGCTAGGAATGTTAATTTGCAGCAACAGCATGTGGCACAGAAAGGAGCCTTAGGCTTAGGACTCTCTTAATTGGTTGATTTTTTTTTTTTTTTTTTCCTGTGAGATTAGAACAGGTCATATCAGCAAAGAAGATTCTCTGCCTCTATTCCAATACAATTCCAATTGCATTAAAATTGCATATTGAACAGAGACATTTATAGAAGGTCCAGTGAAGACACTGCAGTATGCTATGCTGTGGTTAAAAATGGCTATAGGTGAGCATCAGATTTCTAGCAAAATATCCCAAACTGATTTCACCAACTGTTTTGAAGTGGTCTTAAGAAGAGCTCCTGTTTATTGTTGACATTGCAAGCTAACTAGGTTTTAAAACGCATTATTACTTCACTAGATTTTATCTGTCAGAATTCCCTAGAATTTGGTTTTACATTTCATTCTAGCTATTCTAAGTGTATGGTGGGGGGAACATATAAGGAGACAGTGCCAATATTAAGGATGAACATTGCTGTATTTACCAGAAAATCAGCAAACAATGCTTCTTTAACAGCTGACAAGTAACTGCATTATGAACATATGGATTCCTTTGTATATTGGTTTTCTAGATTTAATGAAGACTGTAATACCAGACAGTCTCATTTGGGGCAATATAAAGATAATGAAAATAAGGGAATTACTAACTAAAGACTAAATTGAGCATTAGTAGAAAATTAGGAGTGGATGTTTGCCTGATGATAAGGGAAAGTGTGAAGTTTAGGCTGGAAATAGAGAATGAATTTGAGAACATGGTCATATTACAGATATAGAAACAACTTCATAACATACATCTACATAGCAGTCACAGAATTTAGTGTGGGTTGACTGTCCAAATATTTGCCCAGCTTCTTAGGCAGGTTTTGCTCCAACGCTGAGCTGAGCTCCATGCTGTTGCAGCCAGGCTGTTACTAGTATCCAAGATAGCAGATTTTAATGCTACCTCTGGCAAATCTATAGTGCATGGCAGCCTAAATGTACCATTAATTTCTTGGGAAAGAATATACATTGCATTCCTCTCGAGTACCTTGTAAAAACAAGCAGAGCAATTTTATGATACCTGCTTTGTCTCCTGACGAAGTCTATTCTATGTATTTGTAATGGTCAAGTGAGGGGTTTTCATTATAAATGAGAAAAACTCAGGCTGAAAATTAGATTGTGCTTCTAGTTTGGCAAAACCAACTTTGAACCATATAAAGGACTCTGCATTTCCTGAATGGAAACAAATACCTTGACATGAGCTGCCTCTGGATTTGATCAGCCAACTGCTCATCAGTCCAGCCTGTTATGACATGTTATGAAAATGCCACAGTTCCACCCAGAAAAGACTAATGTTTAAAGATCCCAAATGCTCAGTGTAAAATACATAAACCCAATAAAGTACAACAAGGGTTGAAACAATGTGCAAGAGAGATCCTGTGTTGGATACTTACAATTCCCATTTACTGTTGCTGCCGTCAAAGCTTTCTGAATCCCATCTGATGCAGACATCTACCATAAAAAATTTAGTCATCATTTAGGCATTCTGAGTATCTTGCATTATAAAGGAAAATACATCTCTGATGTAACTGTAGTGAGTGGAATTACACTAAGAACTAAGTTGGCTCTAATATTGAAGTTCAAACCATACTGCAGTTGATGTATGCTCTAGTTACAAAGTAGTTCATTTTTATAAATAATATAAAATGAGATATTTTATTTTGGGCCTGATTCATTTGCATGGCTTTAAATGTGAAATAACTGCATTAGAACTAAAAGCAGCAGAAAGTGAAATTTAAAAGGGACACCATTACTTAACGTTCTAAATTGGCCTTTATATACAGAATAAATAAATATGTTTTTATGGCAGTATTCATGCCAAGATAAGAAATCAGGTTCCTAAAGGAGAATGCGTTTTCAGTTAACCTAAAGGAGTAGCGCATTTAATGCGTAACTTAACTTCAGAGATTAATTTGTTTCCCTTCTTTACATTTACATTGGTTCATGGAAAGCTCACTTTGGACTCCCATAATTGTGTGAAATCAAGTGTTATGTTTCTTTGTTAAGGAATTCATGTCCAGGCTTTTCAGTGTTCAGAAAAGCTCACTGAGAATTATTCCACACAAGGCTATTCCAGATGGTAGAAAGCACAATTCTGTTTGTTTTTGGTTTGAAAGACAATCTCTTGTCCCCTTTTTTCTGTGTTGTTGTAGAGTGTATATTTTCATTTTTTTGTTGTTGTGAAAAATCATTTTTGAGGGCTCAAAGACATGAACAAAGCTGTTATAGCTACATCTATGCTATGTGTTTTGAGAATAACAAAAATGTATTGTAGTATGTTTTTCTTTGTCAAAGAAAACATGATCTGATTGGAGTTTCAGTCAGCAAAGCCTTGTTCCCAGTAACAAAGAAAAATGGAAGCCATGTTTGATGGTAATGTTTATAACCATTTTGGCATCAGGTCTTAACCCTGAAAAAAAGAACCCTATTTAGTGGCCCCTAACATGGAGAGTTCATGTAAAGTGAGGAGAGTCCATTCTGTTTAATCTGGATTTATATAAAATCAGTAGGAGGTGGCTCAAGAATATGAAACACCTATACCGGATACATTGCATTTTATAGGGCTAGTGTAATATCGAGTCCTATTCTGGTCATGCTGTGTTCATGGAAAGTCTTTTTTGTGAAGTATAGAGTTCTGGTAGGTGCCTTTACAGTGATTTCAGAGCTCAGAAACTGTAATGCTCTAAAACTTATTCTAAACTAAGTTTTAGAATAAGATTTATGAAACTTTGTTCATAGTCCTTAGATTTGAACTTTTTTTGGAGATTTATAACTCATGTCCTTTATACCCAGCTTTGACAGATCCTACATTGGTTCTACTTTCACTGTGTGCTGTTACAAATAAAGACCTAAAGTGATTTAAATTAATTGGCTTGAAATAGTAGTATACTAAAAACGGGTGAGCTTTAAACAATTTACATAACATATAAACTGTATTTTTATCATAAGATCAACCAGAATGGTCATCCATAATATTTATAGACATGGCACAGGGTATGTAATTATATTGTTGACAATCTGAATGATCAAATACTTCTGATTTTGCAGTGAATGACATCTGCTTCAATGGTTTAACATATTTGTGCATCTTTGTTTGAAACAGATACCTGTGGAGAAATTGGTTATTTTTAATCATGTAGACTAAAATGAACATTCATTTCCACCAGGATCATCTGAGGTGAAAACTTACCTTTACAAATTAATGCCAGGTTACATACTTAAACATTTTGTACCTGGCAACCAGGTACAAACATAAAGGCTTTATATTCAACCATGCTTTCTGTATATTAAGATTATATATAAGTTCATAAAGAAAAGTCATTAAAGCATTGTGTACTGAGATGTTTGAATTTTTATTTTTAACCCTCTTTTATTCTTTGCAAAATGATAATGCATTTTGAGGACTTTTTCTGCAGTAAGAACTTTGCAAAGTAAATTAATATGTATGGAGAAGAAGAACAATATTAACTTAAATTTTCAAATCTGATAAAACATTCTGATTTGTAGAAAGTGGGTAAGTACAAATTTTGTTGTACTGTTCCTTCAGTTGTGCATGCACAGTATTGTCAGTAAAAAAAAATTAGAGATCAGTTGGCTGAACAAATTCATAATCACAAATGCAATTGCTTTCTAAGTTATGTGTATTTCAGGTACGTATGGGGTCTCTTTTCTCAAAGTATCTGTGTGCCTTATACTGTTTAATATATTCAGTCTCATAGCCCTATAAGGTAGGGAAGTACTATTATATCAGTTTTACAGAAGACAAAGATATGGTGAAATTAAAGCAGTACCTATAAAGGTATTTTGGCACTTAATTTCTCTTAAAGCACCCGATATCCTCTGATTTCTTTATGAGTTAGACACTCAAAAACCTTTGTGGACCTGGGCCTAAGTGACTTGCTCTGTGAAACCCATGAAGCATACAGTGCAGTAGGCCTTTCTAATCCTGCACGATTCTCCTAAGCATTTGGCTTTGCTTTTCTCTTTGTGCTGCTAATATTGAAATACTTTTCTTAACTAAAACTGCTAATGCTTTAATGTCAGATATTTCTTATTTGAGATAAAAAGAAAACCAGAAGAGAATGGGTCTTCTTTATTTGTTTTTTGTGTTGCTGGGGGATTCAAGTTTTGTTTGGCAGGTTGGGGGTGGGGTGGGATGGGAGGCAGGGGGAATGTTATATTTTGAAAATTATGTCAAGAATGTGCAATATCAGATAGTTGCCTTTCTATATTTTAGCAGTCAAAATAAACAAGCTTGTGAAATAAAAATGTTGGGCTCAATCTTACAATGGTCCATGGGTGGGGAGGTTTCACTGAAAAGGTTTGAAGTATTGGCTCTCAAAAATTATGACAATTGAACTCAAACCTAGAACGTATGTCATTACTACTATTTTAATCTAGTTTAACTGCAGTTTTTGAGCTCAGTTCTATTCCCAGTGAAGGTAACTGTAAACCTTGGCTTCAAGGTTGAGACTTGTATGACTTTATTTGAAATATTCTGTGGAAAGCAGACGGTTTTCCTAGTTACGTTTATTCTGTTATTACGTAGCCTGATCTTGTTGTAGTCAGGTTCCACCACTGACTTCAATTAGAGTCCACAATGTCTATCTGGGAGTGTGATATATATAGCATATGAACATAATTTAATTTCCTTCTTTTGTTGTTTTCCTATTGATACAGCTCTATATTGACAACAAGGTCTCAATCATTGGCAGTCTCCTCCTGCACACTGGAACCTGAGCAGAGAAACCTGCAGCGGACAATTGATATGAATTGAAGGTAATTTTGTTTTCCTGCCCAAAATAGATGTATGTGCTCTAGAACAGAGTATTGAACACCAGAAGGGTTGTACATTTCTGAGCAGGTGAAATAACCATTACTTCTTTAGTGGTCTTGATCTTGCGAGGTGCTGAGTGCCTGCACAGTATTCATCATGGATTGAGGAAGTTAAGAACCTGGCAGGAGAGCTCGAACACCATGAAAAAATTTAGCCCTTTTAGTACTCAAAACAGGAAGGCAGTAGAAGAAAGCAGACATTTTGCGTATTTTTGAGCTTGAGGTTGAAGGAGGCTAAAGTGTATTGGCTTTCTAGGAAAGATTTTTTTGCATTTTGAAATGTGAGCTGTACATATGCACAGTAAGAAAACTGCGTGATGTATCCTGGATTGGTCTGAGTGAGGGAATAGAACATTTTTTGATTGCATATTTAAGCATCATCATCATCATATTTTACTGTGTGCAAATTTTAGATAACATGTTATTTTGGCAAGACTCTTGCCCACTGCAAAGGATACAGTTCAAGTATTATATAGCAATTTAAGCCTCAGGATTTAATTGTGCCTCCTTTTTGTTTCCACTAGTTATTTATAGGGACTGTTATGTTCTAGGATATATAGATCATAAGACTAAAGGCAGAAAAGCTATAAAAATTCCAGTCAAGAGAGTAGAGGATCAAGATTTAAATCTTCTGTGAAAATCTTATAAATCAAACTGTTATTTTCATGCTGTTTAATTCATGAACATCTGCTATAAGAAAGTATATTTTTATACAGTAGGTTATAAGACAAAAATATATTTTATGGCTAGTAAAATGCTGTTTTATTATTCGTAGTTTAAGAGAGGATTAGCATGTTTCCTAGCTACAAAGATGAAAAGTGATGTAAAGAAACATTGTAAACACAGTCAATTAAACAAACAAAATCCCCGTATATGTTATATTTGTTGCTTTGTGTCAGGATAGAGTTGTTTTTGGAAGAGATTTTTAAAAATGACTAGTACTCTTGACTGGCTCTCTTGATGCACCTACTTCTTATTCTTAAATCCCCAGGAATTCCTACAACCCAAATCACTAGTTACTTTTGAAAACCTTGGTCATGATGATTCCACTGGTTGTTTTATTTGTTTGGGGATTATTGTAGCCTTTTGGTCTTCACCATTTCCTATTTTGTAAAGGTGTTGAACTACTTTTAATAGATGTATCTAAGTACATGTTTCCAGACATGATCTAGATTGCATTATTAAATGGAAAAATCCTGGCATATCGAACTTGCTTAATGGAGTGAGCTTGTTTAATTTTGATGTAGCAGTGTCTGAAAAAAATATTTTAATCGTTTTGAGCTCAGTCTTGTATTTGTATATACCAGAAGCTTCCTTTGAAATGTCACTGCAAAACCTAACCTCTATGTGACATGAATGGGAGTTTGGGGTGCTAAGGATACCCAACATATATTGTTAACTGGGTTTTTTAGACCTTGCTCTATTCAGTAATATTCAGTTCCAGTTCCAAGGCTTGTTCTGTTCCAGGCTCAATGGAAAATGTATAATCTTCACATCCTTGAATACCATTTAAAAACAATTGCTGAACATTTTTCTGTTCCTAATATTTGACTGTCAAAGGAACAGTCGTCTTTGTCTGTGGGCCCTGTCTTGCTCTAATACCCAGTTTGCTGTTTTTTGGCATGCCTTACTGGTGCTTTTGTAAGGTACCACCCATTATTATTTCTGCTGACGTGTGTTAGTATTTGTTTAGTATAGAGTAACTACTTGTGCTGATATATCAGGAGCCCTTAAAAGGGAAACCTATTTTTTAGCTACTGAGTGATGGGTATCATGATCCTAATGATTCAGTCATTTGCTATTGGGTAAGCTGGGAAATAATTAATGAAGTTCCTATTGGACTGATATTTAGAATGGGCTGATGGAGTCATGGGCAAGCAGTGCTTTCAACTTTCCACTGAGTTTATTTGGATTTTTTTCTGTGCCTCCACTAATTAGTTTACCGTTGAAACCATTGGAGAGGGTTACATTATACATGATAGTAATCTTTACAGCCATTACAATGATGTGGGGACTTGTGTCTGGTAGTTAACATGGCTCTTATTATTCTTTGGCATTTTTTAGAGATGATAATGATTTAAAAGTTCATAGAAGTTTTTTTTTTTAATTGACTGCATGCAAATTGTGAGTACCTGGGATTTAATAATTTAGTTATGAGTTTTGTAAAAGAAAAGAAAACAAAAATTCCTTCAGGCCTTTTAGACCATTCCATGCTTGAATGCTTCAAGAAAGACTAACAGGGTCATGCAGTGGAGTAAAGAGGAAGATACTTAAGACTCATGTGTTTGCCAGGAAATCACTGTGTGGTTTATATATTGTGTGGTTATGGAAGAGATTTGTAATTGTGTAAAAAGAAGGTTGGGCCCAGAAGGTCAGCTTTTCAAAGCAGGGTGTATTGAGTATGTCCTATTACATCTCCCATGGTTTACAGTTGTTGGTTGCAGCTGAGTTGGTCTAAGGACATAGGCAGACACGGTTCTTTGGGTAAATGTGATATCTTTTATTAGATGAGCTAAATAGTTGGAAAAATTGCTCTTTGTAAACTTTTGGGTACAAACACCATTCTTCAGGCATAGGGAGAGTTAGTTGTCTCTTAACTCTCCCTGTGCCTGAAGAAGGGTGTTTGTACCCAAAAGCTTGCAAAGAACATTTTTTCCCAACTATTTAGTTGGTCTAATAAAAGATATGACATTTACCCAAAGAACCTTATCTGCCGTTACGTACCCTGTATTTATGAAGGGAGATGGGTAATTGTTCATCCATTTCCTTAAGGTATACAGGTGCCTGAAATGTTTTTCCCAAAGCAATTTTTGTAGGACTGTCTGTTATTCTTACTGGGTGAAGTTCATAGTTCATAGTTCACAGACATTAGGGCTGGAGGGGACCTTGCAGATCATCAAGTCCAGCCCCCTCCCCAGGGGCAGGAAGTCAGCTGGAGTCAAAGGATCCCAGCAAGATAAACATCCAAACATTTCTTGAAGAGTGCTTAAGATATCCAAGTCCCTAGGGATTCAATGACTTAATATTTCCACTGCTGAGCATCACAGATCTTCTAACCAGTTGGCAAATCCCAGTCCTTACCAAGGTTTTGAGTGTAAAATGGAATTTTAATCAAACAGGGCCCATTCTCAAATATATAAAGGAGCCATCAGAAGCTGTAGGAACACAAGGTAAAAAGAGAACTGCTTTCCCTTATGGACAATGTCCATCCATCCCCCAAATAATGTGGATTAAAATACCAAATGAGAGATGGAACTCAAGCATGGTGCCCTTTTTTTCCCCCACCTTCCTCAGAGGAGAGCTTCTCTGAGGTAAGTGCAGCTATTTTGTGATCCACCAGAAGAAGAGGGTGCTGGAGGGAGGCAGACATGTACAGAACTACTTTCTTCATTCCCCAGCTGCATGAAAACACTTGTCCAGGGGAATGCCCTCAAGGAGATAATCACTCTTAGGGCCACTCATCCTGGAAAGCTCTTAATGAATGTAACTTTCTGAGGGTGAATG